CATATACGCGCCCTAACCATTGATCCTGAGACTCAAGCTCATCACGAGGTACCATAACAATATATTTAAAATCCATCCAGAATCCATAGTAGTGCCGCTCAACTTTTCGTTGCCTTAACACTACAAATCAATAGGATTTAACTTTTAGTTAATTCATTCCTTAATTCCAGAGTAGGTAGGACTTAGCGTTTTTGAGCTAATCTCCCTAGTATGCCACCGTCCCGTACCGGTACATACAATCCATCAATCCAGTAGTTGATAATACAGACAATGAATGTAAATATCAACTAATCCATACATCCAACAATTGATAATTAAAATATTAAATATAAACATCAATTGTACCATACTAAGCATGATAAAATTGTAATTTAACAAGCTTATTCAATGCTACTCCGCAAAGTCCACTGATTGATAATACAGATCATACATGTAAACCAATTAATTCCAAGTAATTATAATAGAATATATATCTTCACATGCATATTTTATAACACTGGAACATGATTAACTGAAAATTCATCCATGAGAATTGCTATCCTAAGATTAAGCAATTTAAAATCATTTTCATCCAGAAACAGCAAACCAATTAATTCCAAATAAGCATAATAGAATATATAACTTCACATGCTTATTTTTTATATTATTGTGGCATGATTTAAACTATAACAGCCTTAAATTCAATTGCTAACTTAGAGATAAACAAATTGAATCATCCGCATCCAAGATCAATATGCCAGTTTACTTACGAACTTCATACTGTTCCATATACTAATTCTCTATGATTTATTATGTATTATCAAACCTTTTGGAGCTCTAAAATGTCCTTAGACATCATTTAACTTCCCATCCATAGCCCCTTACTATCTCTGGAACGTCAAAAACCCAACCCAAAATTAACAAATCGTCAAAAATCAAGAGAAAGGGGGAAGAACCGCCTCCCCCATAAGGGGAGCCGCCTCCCCCTTGAGTGGAGCCGCTCCACACCATGTGGAGCCGCTTCTTCTCCCCGAATGACCAACTTTGCTTGTTTCCTTCACCCGTTTCACCTCCAGCGACTTCCGTTCCTTCTGTCATCCATTGTTAGGGTTTCCACTGGTTAATTCTATGTCCCAGTGTGTTCCAAAGATTATAAAATTTCATATGCCTCCATTTAAATCAATTTAAACAAGTATTTATGCAAACAAACGCAAAATCAAGCAAAACTAGAACATGTAAACACATACTGCTTTATATAAAATTTCACATACATGAAAGATTAATTTTACGTTTATTTACTCCTGGAATTGCTTTAGGCATGTAAAGAACACGATCAAAGGGAGAGAGTTAGGAATAGAACTTGCCTTTGAGGTTTCGATTCAAAACCTCAGCGTCGTCTTCCTAAAATTTCTGGCGATTCCTATTGTTCCCAACTCCTCTGTTGCCTTGGTTCCAACCACGAACAATACTCCTTCCGGCTCACCCTGGTTCGACCTTTAATCCACGGCCGAAGCACTAACCAGTTCTCTCTGTTTTCTCTCAAGTCCCTCTCTATATACATGAACAGGGTTTTTGATTTCTAAACCCTAAGCTGACGTTTAAAACAATATTAATAAAAGTTTAAGGAAAACGTAGTTCTACTATATTACGATACAGAAACCTCAACTAAGTAAAAAAACCTAGTCGGCTAAACCGTGAAACATAAAAACCTAGAATTATAATGAATACGAAAACCATTAAAACAATTAATTCATTAATCCACATAAGCATATAATAAAGAAAGAAAAATTAAAACAAATACTCAATTAAATCATTCGATTAAATAAAACAAATACCATAATTAATTCAATTAATTAACAATAAATAAAACAGATAAGCAAATAGCCAAATAACCACATACAAATGCACAGATTACAATAAAACCATAAAATAAACTACCGACACTATCCTTTTAAAATTAGGGTATTACAGATTGTCATCCACCACCTCCTTGCCGTGTTCTGAAAAATGTTAAGAGGAAGGGGTGAGCAAAAGCTCAGTAGGAGGTGCCTAAGGCACACCTCTTGTTACCCCGTGAATCTAAACAATGAATAGAGCAAAAGAAAATGGGATCATATAACTCAGGGAAGATAATATAACCATAATATCAACAACAAATAATCCAAGTAATAACAAACCATGCCGTGTAATGGGATGTAATGTCATGAAATGTCACTCCCCATTTTCCAAAAACCATTTCTACCATCATTTCTAAATTGTTAGTGCAACCCGTCATATGGCAACTCCATGGTGGCACGAGAGAAGGATTGGCTAACTGTCTCTGACCACAAGGCAACTCCAGGGTGTCATTTGGGGCCCGTTAACTCAACTACGCTAGGGAAATCTCCCCAGTTCCCTCTATGAAAGACATTGTGGACTCTATCCATCTGCGGCGGCAAAGCAAGTCTGTAGGAAACCTCTACTACCAAGTCCAAGATCTCAAAAGGTCCAATAAATCATGGCGACAACTTACCACTCTTCCCGAACCTTAACAACCCCTTTCGTGGAGAAACCCGTAGAAAAACGTGGTCTCCCACCTCAAAGGATAACGGTCGTCGCCGTCTATCCGCATAGCTCTTCTATAGGCTCTGAACTGTGAGCAACCTCTATCTAATCAGCTTAATCTTCTCAGTAGTCTCAAGTACAATGTCGGGTCCTAAGACGTCTGTCTCGCTTACCTCAGTCCAATAAATAGGAGACCTACAAGGTCTACCATACAACGCCTCAAATGGAGCCAACTGAATACTCTCCTGATAACTGTTATTGTAGGTAAACTCAATAAGTGGAAGGTGATCCTCCCAACTACCTCCCAAATCAAGTACACATGCCCAAAGCATATCCTCTAAGATCTAGATGGTACGCTCCAACTGGCAGTTCGTCTATGGATGGAATGCCGTACTAAAGTGCAACGATGAACCAAACGCTGCCTGAAGCCCTTCCCAGAACCTCGAAGTGAACTTGACATCTCTATTGGAAACAATAGCCACTGGAACTCCGTCCAACTTCACAATCTTTCACATAAAGAACACCAAGTGCCTCTGCGTTATCTGTTGCCTTAATAGGCAAAAAGTAAGCCATCTTGGTCAATCTATCAATAATGACCCATACGGCTTTATTTTCCCTCCGTGATCTAGGAAGACCCGTCACAAAATTCATAGCAATCTGCTCCCATTTCCATTGCGCTACAGGCAATGGATGCAATAAACCAGCTGGTCTCTGGTGTTCGTCCTTCACCTGCTGACAAGTAAGGCTTCTAGTCATAAACTGTGCAACATCTTTCTTCATTCCAATCCACCAATACTGACGTTTCAAATTGTGATATATTTTAGTACCACCCGGATGAACTGTAAAGCGGGAAGTGTGAATCTCCCGTAAAACTAGGGATGACAATGGGGCAGGTTTGGAGCGGGTTTACATAAATCTATCCCCGCCCCGTTTGATTAATGGCAACTCCATACCCGCCCCGTGCCCCGCGACGGGTTAAATTTTTATATCCATCCCCGTCCCAACGGTATACAAATTGTTCTCATATCCATTGTTGAAGGGGCGGGATGGGGCGGAGCCCCAGCGGGGCGATAAAAATTGCCACCACTATGTTTTAATACAAAAAGCCTGGAAATGGCATAACATATATGAATCCCAATAAAAATAAATAAATAAATAGCATGCTCTAGCATAATTCAAAGAACATAATCAACAAAAATAAGGTTTTAATACAACCAAATCATAACAAGTTCTAAGCTCCAACTTTTCACCATAACCAAAACAAAAGCAAGTTTACATCCCAAATTATTCAAAATTGAAGTCTGAAATTAACAAAAGATAACAAAGACACAAAAATTGATTTAAATCCCTTAAATAATCTATTGGCATTTGTAATCTCCCATGTCTTCCACAGTGTTCATGAATTAATCAAAATCTGAAAATTATAAACAAATGAATCATTTAATACATAAAAAAATGATCAACAAATTGAAGAAAATAAAATTTATATGAAAACTATAATTCCAATGATCATCAAGCAGTCTTGAAAAACAACAATCTTATGTTCAACACCGGTGTGCTAAATTGCTAGCTTGTACCAGTTGTACCTTTTCAATAAAAAATAAAAATGTTCGTTACAATTCGTGACCCCTTGCCTCTCTGTTCATCAATTAACACATATGCACAGACAGCTTCACTAAAATACTTCATTAAAGCCGCTACTAATGTTGAGAGAGAAAAAGAAAGCCAATGAAAGAGACTCACCGCTGCTCCTATAGAGACAGATTGGTGTCTACTACTACTTGATAAGGTCTGGTGTTCCACACAAATTTCTGCATCTTTTTCATGCTCAATATCTTCTGTAACTATCAACTATAACACTACACTCTCCTAAGTCTGGATAATACAAGATAAATCAAAGTATAGTAGTACTAATTAGCACACTAAATTTTAATTTAATACTTGCATAACTCATGTTCTATAACAATATCAGATGAGATCAAAACAGATCTTCTTTTAGTAATTGATGGTGACTAATTATACAAAAAAACTATACATTGATTTAACAATAGTAAATATTACTAAACTACAAAAAGGAGGAGGAAGGAAAAAAAAAAAAACTATACCTTGAAGCCTTTTAATCTTTTTCTTCATCACAGATTGTTAACCGAGAGATTCCAGCAGAAAGAGTTGACGCCGATGCATTTGCTGCAAAACAATGTAAAATTTAAAAAAAAAAAAATGAAAAAGAAAAAAACTAAATGGGTCATTCAATATAAAAGCATATTTAAAATTTCATTACCTTCTAGATCATTCCACAACCAAGATTGAGAACACATCAAAGCCTCTATAAGGCCAGGACTAAGTCGACTACGATGTGGACTCACCAACCTACCACTTTTACTAAATGCTGATTCAGATGCGACAGTTGATACTAGAATAGCCAAGATGTCTAGTGCCATCAGCTGCAATGTAGGATACTTACTCTTATTTGCATCCTACCAATTTAAAATGTTAAAATCCATGGTGCGTGGCAAGACTGGTTCATCTACGTAATGGTCTAACTCTGATTTCACATTCCCAATCCTTGACAAATCACTAACAATTATATCATACTCAGCATAAATGTCCCATTCTTTACTTGTAGAGCTTAAAGATGCTGCCAATCCACTTAGATCTTCACTTAGACTAGTTCCCTCCTTACTTCTATCTTGATACTCTTGAAGTAAATCAAAACATGCTTGGCGTACACGATTTTTTTGAGAGAAAGATTCGTCCCCGTGTATCCTCTGAAGAACAAGCTCCAAAAAGGTCATTTTATGCCTTGGGTCTAACACTATTGCTATTCTTGCAACAAGATGGCACTCACTCCAATACTTATCAAATTTCTCTATCATACTTGCTGCCATTTTTTTTACCACCTCGTTCTCACAATTGCACCAACAACGCAATGCCAATTTTACCTCACAAATTTTTGGAAGTCGAGTCCCAGAGAAAATTTCAGTAATAGAATAAAATAGTTCCAATCTCCAACAAATTTCCTGTGCTAAGCTCCATTCCTCCTCCGATGGCAAAGATGTATAAAGTCTCTCACGTTGTTTCAGTCGTGGAAACACATCCTTATAACATATAGCTGTTTCAAGCATCAAATATGTAGAATTCCATCTAGTTTTGTAATCAAGAAACAGTTTTTTATGGCATGGATTTTTTAATTGACTGGCTGCCTCCACAAATTTTTCTTCTCTAGCTTGGCTAGCCGTCCAAAAGTGAACACTATCACGAATTTTCCCAATTGTGCCTCCAATTATATCTAGACCATCCTTCACAATCAAGTTTAATATATGTGCAACACAACGCATATGAAATTTTTTACCATCTAAGAGTAGTGACTTACTACGAATAGACAACTTATTCGAAAGACCCTGAATCAATGCATCATTGGTTGTACAATTATCTACCGTAATAGTAGATATCTTTCTATCCAAGTTCCAATCCAAGAAGTAATTCATAAGTGCATCACAGAGAATCTCACTTGTATGTGGAGAAGGCACATAAACAAACCTGAAAGTATTCATGAATTAAATACAAAAGTTAGTCACTAATGGACAACCAACTTTTGAGATATCATGTAATTGAAACAAAACAAATAAATAAAGATTAAATACTTACCCAATAATCATATTTTGCAAGCGCCAAAATTCATCAACATAGTGAGCAGTGATTGACATGTAACCTCTTTTCTGTCTAGAAGACGACATATCAGTCGTGATAGCAACTCGGCTCTCAAGTTTGTCAAACAACCAATAAGCTTTCACTTTCTCCGACTGATAAAGCTTCATAATATCACTCCTGATTGTATTCCGAGTCATCGTTGTGAAGCCGGGCTGGAGGCTGCTAACAAACCTTCTAAATCCAATATGCTCAACAATACTAAGAGGATACTCATGCAAAACAATTGCATTAGCAAGTTCATTCCTTGAAACTTCTTGGGTAAATGTAAAATTGCCAAATTGCATTGACCCATCAACATTTGGAGAACGTGCAATCATTTTTTGACGTATATCAGTATTAGTTCGCTTCACACACCTCTTTAAATGTTGTTTTAAATGACTAGTACCGGATGAAGGTTCAGCAACAAGCTTCTTCTTACAATGATGACAAATAGCAAAAGACCCCCCATTTGGCCCATCCAATATCACATTTTCAAAATCCTTCCAAACTTTTGAAGTCAATTTTCTCTTCCTCGCATGTGATGTTGCGAGTCCTGTGACCCCTAAACTTGGAGTGGGTGCTGATTCAGAATTGATTTCAATTGGTGCATCAAAACTTGTAGGTTGTGTAGCTGATGCAGATGACACACTTTCCATATTTTGAGTCGGCTGGGACATTATATCAACCACTTGCTGGATATAAAAAATATAGAAGTAATTAATTCAAAGGTTCACTTTCAATGGATAATCAAACTGACAAATGAACATGATAAAGGGGAATGAGAAGTGCCAATATAATTGAATAAAACAAAAAAGCTTGGTTTTGTAAAATATAAAAATGAAAAAAAAAATTTAATTTCCAAGTGGGTCATCCCACAACCCTTTATCACGTAAACGGAAAAAAAGTAGTTTTATATAGATTAATCAATCAACAAATGTAAAATCCAAAATAGCTGAAACATTATTGCATAGGAGAGACGAAAAAAAAGAAAAAAAATTACCTTCTCAACTAGTATTCAAATTTGTAATAGTCCAGTCTGAGGAGTTCAAGCTTTCATCGTCGTTCTACCGCGAACTCAAGCTATCTATTCTAAAGGAACGTTATCAGACTCTAATGCACAAGTGGGTATGATAAAATATATATATAATAAACATAAATATATATATATCCACTGAAAGAATATATATATATATATACATATATATAACTTAAATCATAGACTACATCAAAAAAACAAAAAGATTTACAGAAATCAAAAACCTTAAAAATCAAGACCAAGTACGATATCAGAACCACAAACATAGAGATATAATCATACTATTCATGCATGATATCAACGAAATAATATTAGAGTATGAAGAAACAAAAAAAGTCATGAGAGAGAGAATGACGGAATACCTGATAAAGAGAAACAAAAAAGTTAGGGTTTTGTAACTTGTAGAGTTGTTATATTATATAAATTTATTATAAGTTATTAATATTATATAATATATATATATAGTTATATGTTTAGCGGGGCTGGGCGGGGCGGGGCGAATATGAATCAGAACCTGTTCCCGCCCCATGACCCTCGACGGGTACAAAAATATATCCATACCTGCCCCAACGGTATAAAAATTGTTCTCATACCCGTTATTGAAGGGGCGGGACGGGGCGGAGCACCGGCGGGGCGGTAAAAATTGTCACCCCTACGTAAAATGTCATCACGACAAACTGTGGGAATGACTAACAAACCCCTGAACCGTAAACCTCCATCTGCATGCAAAGTCCAATCCTTTACTGTCTCACCACCAGAAATCAAAATGTGAATAACATCCAAATCCAGATCTTACCTCATGACCCAATCACTCGTCTAACAAGAGTGGGCTGAGCCACGAGACTAAACAAGAATGCTGACTCATTGTCAACATCATCATCAAAGCAAGACAATCCTATTTCTGCCAAATCCTCAAGTATCTTCCACTTCTGAATGGCTAAACCGGCCAAAGTCCCTCGAGATTTCCGGCTTAAGGCATTAGCTACCACATTTGCCTTGCCCAGATGATACTGTAATTCAAAGTTGTAGTCCTCCAAGAATTCAACCCATCGCCTCTGTCTGTTGTTCAAGTTTTTGTGGGAGAAAAAAAACTTGAGACTCTTGTGATCTGCGAACACCTCGAATCTTTCACCATACAAAAAGTGTCTCCAACACTTCAAGGCAAATACAACTGCCACTAATTCCAGATCATGAGTAGGGTGGTTGCATGTACTCATGAGTCTTCAACTGTTGAGACCTATAAACCACAACTTTACCATCCTGCATCAGCACACATCCCAAACTATCACGTGAAGCGTCATGATAGATCACATAACCCAAGCCATGTTTGGGTGTCACCAATACTGGAGCTGTAGTCAATCTTGTCTTTAACTCTTGAAAGTATAACTCACAGGCTTTATCCCATGTAAACTTGATCACCTTCCGGGTCAAGCGAGTCATAGGTGCTGCCAAACGGGAAAAATCCTTCACAAATCTATAATAATAACATGTTAGGCCAAGAAAACTCCGGATCTCAAAAACATTCTTGGGTTGCTCCCAATTCAAAACCGCTTCTATCTTCGATAGATCCACCAACACACTACCTTCCGAGATAACATGCCCCAAAAATTTTACCGCTTGTAGCCAAAACTCACACTTTTTATATTTGGCATACAAATAGTGCTCTCGCAACATCTGCAATACAATACTTAAATGGATCTCGTACTCCTCCTGAGTCCGTGAATACACAAGAATGTCATCCACGAAAACTACCACAAACTGGTCCAAGTAATCGTAAAAGATGCGGTTCATTAAGTCCATGAATGTCGTTGGCGCATTAGTCAAGCCAAAAGGCATAACAAGGAACTCATAATATCCATACCAAGTACGAAACGCCGTCTTTGGGATATCCTCATCCCTAACCCATAACTGATAGTAGCCTAACCTCAAGTCAATCTTCAAGAAACAACTGGCTCCCCTCAACTGATCAAACAAATCATCTATCCTTGGCAAAGGATACTTGCTCTTGATAGTGGCATAATTCAACTTCCAGTAATCAATGCACAACTTCAGAGAACCATCTTTCTTCTTAGCAAACAAGACAGGTGTGCCCCACAGTGACACACTCGGTCGGATGAAACATTTTATCCTCAAATCATCAAGCTGCCTCTTCAATTCTTCCAACTTAACTGGTGCTATATGATACGGTGCCATAGAAATCGGCGCGGTACCGAGCATCAGATCAATAGTAAACTCCAATTCTCGATGTGGAGGCAACTCTGTCAAATCCTCCAGGAACACATCCAGAAAATCACGAACAACTGCCGAATAAACCCCTTCTGCAACACCATCTTCTTCGGCTAAAAGACTAGCCAAGAAGTAGTTACCACGACCTCGTCTACGAATCTTGTACAATAATACAGTATGGGAATCACTCCGATCTCCCACGTAAAAGAAACAATCCCCCTCGGGAGTGCAAACTGTGAATCTTCATCTGAAACAATCAATTGTGGCATGAAATGAAGCTAACCAATCCATCCCGTGAATGACATCAAAGGCAGTCATCTCATGGAGGAATAGATCAAACATAAAATTCCGTCCAGCTATCACGATGGAACAATCCCTCATAACTCTGCTCAAAGACACTGAAATCCCAACTGGCGTATCAACACACAATGCATGATCAATGAAACTGACCTCTAACCTCGATGCAAGTGCAAATGATGACAAAATGAAGGAATGAAATGCACCAGAGTTAAATAAAACATGAGCCCAAGAACCAAACACTAGAAAGATACCTTAGAGAACTGATGGTCTAGAAGATGCATCAGGCTGGGCAAGTGCAAAGACACGTCCCTACGGTGTCTGTGCCTGGGAACTACCAACCTGTCAACCTAACTGCTGCATTGACATAGTAGGAGTATCTCTCTTAGCTAGCAGTGAACCCTGAGAAGATATAGCAGGCTGTGGTGGTGGCGGTGGTCTGAAATCTGACTGAGTTGTAGCCGACTGTGATGGCCTCTACTGTGTCCCTCTGCCACTACCGGTGCCTTCTCCCCGATTCGGACATTCTTTATCCCTGTAGCCCTGTTGGCCACAACTAAAGCAAACCCCAGAATTAACCGACATCTAAGGACACTCTGTCTTGTAGTGGCTCCGACGTCTGTGGATACTCTGTCTTGTAGTGGCCCGGCCGATTACAGCGATAATAGATAACACCACTCCTGGCAGACCCTGCTGGTATAGGGGTAGTAAGAGCAGATCGTGCCGACTGCTGCCCCTGAGACTGAGACGGACCACCCCTGTTCCTCTTCTATGACTGCTCTTCCGAAGATGGTCCTGCATTCCTCTTTTGCTTCCACTGTTCCTTTCCTGCATTTCTGTCCTTAGCTTCCACCTCAAGCATCAACGCCCTTTCCATTGCCTCCGAGTACACCTTGAAATACTGGGCCGTTATTAACAGTCTTATTTGGTAATGGAGACCGAAAACAAACTTATAAGTCTTATCAATTTCATTTCTCATTATCTCTAGAACAAAGCGAGAAAGAAAGGTAAACTTGTTCTCATACTCCATCACCGACATATTACCTTGGATGATATCATCTAACTACTTCCTTAGTTCCCACCTTTTGGTAATCAAAAAATATTTTTCATAAAACAGCTCTTTAAATATCTCCCAACTTATATCCTCAACCTTATGCTGATTAGTGACTAACTTCCACCATAGCTTAACATCTTTTGAAATCTTGTAAGTGGCTAGGTTGATTTTTACATGAACATCCGTCACATCCATAGAAGTCAAGTGGGTTTCCACTTGGTCCATGTAGTCATCCACTTCTATCGTGTCCGCTCCACCCTCAAACATCATCGACATCAACTTCGAAAACCCCGCAATCAACTTAAGACATTTTTGTGCTGGCGTATTCTCAACTTGAACTACCGGTTGTGGTACTGGCTGCGGAAGAGAAGTAATTATTTCCCTCAAAGCATTCTGCAACAGACGGTTCAGTGCCAACTCAGCTGAACCTTCACCCGCTTCAACATTGTCCCTTCTTGTAAGAACACCTCTAGGGGTAATTAAATCCCTAAGAAGTGTATCATCTTCAACTTGTTCCGCTGGATTAGAGCTAGAACTTTCACCAACATCACCCCTTGTCGGCCTAGGGCCAACTTATCTCGGTTCCTTTCGCGGTGGCATCATGCTATAAAACAAAAAAAAAAAAAAAATGGTTCAATAACGATAACATTAGGGTCCAACTATGAACAACTTAACAAAAAATGATACTAGATAGCATGCAAGACTATGCAATCAACACATTAATATAAGCATTTAAACACGTAAGCAAGTAAACAGTTAAGCATGTTTTTAACATAGCAAAACATTTTAACAAATAGCCACATAGATGTACAAATAACTTCCCACACAACCTTATGTAGGCCTCTACCCGTCGTCCTAAGGGTTTTCGAACCATCGCTCTGATACCAAGTTTGTAACGACCCTAAAATGATACCAATTATTTAAAAATAATAATAATAAATAAAATAAATAAATAAAAATTGGCATGACCTCTGCTAAAAAAGGTCCTACGACAATCTGCTTTAATGCATAAAAATGTAATAGCCACACTTAGACCTCAAAATTTATCTAACCTGCCCCAACACACAATGCAAATAATACATTCTTCATTGCATGGTTATGAACATCAAAAATATGATACAAAACAACACCATTTTCTTCTTTTACATAAGGATTTTACATAATCTTTATAACCGGTTCAATTTACAACAAAGTGGAGTCAAGCTCAAATTTATAATACAAACCCATGCTAAACAACTTAATACATTCTTGTCATAGTGCTATACAAAAATGAGCTCTAGTTTACAAAATGATTTCAAAATACATTTCTAGTCCTTTCATGCCTGTGGTGGATTGTCATCCGCCACCTCCATGCCATGTTCTGAAAAATGTTAAGAGGAAGGGGTGAGCAAAAGCTCAGTAAGAGGTGCCTAAGGCACTCCTCTTGTGACCCCATGTTTCCAAACAATGAATAAAGCAAAAGAAAACGGGATCATACAATTCCGGGGAGAAAATATAACCATAATATCAATAACAAACAATCCAAGTAATAACGAACCATGCCGTGCAATGGGATGCAATGTCTCCAAAAACCATTTCTGCCATCATTTCCAAACCATTAGTGCAATCCGTCCCATGGCAATTCCATGGCGGCACAAGAGAAAGATTGGCTAACTATCCCTGACCACAAGGCAACTCCAAGGCGTCATTTTGGGCCCAGTTAACTCAACCACGCTAGGAAAATCTCCCAAGTTCCCTCTAGTCCACACTAACGCCGCAGTTTTAAGCAACTCTTAGGCGGCCGGGTTTTCATAAACCCTTTCAAAAACTTTTTCCAAAACCTATTTTATTTTCCTTTAAAATCAACTTCTCATTTCTTTCCCAATGCATAAACATAAAATGTATCAGAAAATTATATAATTCTACTTTAACAACCTTGCATGCTTAATAAGGAAATTTACACACCACATTCGATACTCACAATTAGTACAATTTTCAATAACAACGTATTTAAATTAAGAACATAATCATTTGAGCATGCCTTTGTCGTATCACTTTAACAAATCAATTAATTATGAAAAAAAAAAAAAATCAATTATGCATACCATTTAAGCATGAAATTCACATAACTTATATAATTCAACCTTAACAACTTATATGCTTAATAAGGAATTTTATACAAAACCTAACATGCTTACACTTAGCATAATCTCAACAATCACACATCTAAATTAAAAATATAATCATTTAAGCAAGTCTATATCATATTTCATCAACAATCAACATACAAGTCACTAAACATGAAACTTACGTGGAATTATAACACATACACATAACATCAAGACAACTTAGCATGAATTCATCACAATTTAACATGTTATACTACAAATTAAGAGAGAATAATTCACCGAGAACCAAGAGATTGTAGATTAAACACCCCTACCTCCAAAATGATGAAAACCCCCAATTTTGTGCCCTAATATCAAAAATCCTAGGATGCACCAAAACTAAAATTGCATACACGCACTTGAAGATCTCGTCGAGCTCTTCGATTTGCCGCAAACGGCATCCAAAAATTCTCACTGGTTGAAGATTAATCAAGATTTGAAGCTTTGAATGAAAAATAAAATAAAAATGAAAATAAAGAGAGGAAAAGAGAGAACTGCCGGGGAGAGAGAGAAAGGTGAGGTCAAAATGCGTCTTAGCCATAAATGAATAAAATGGTAGGTCCCACCATTTTTTTAGTAAAAAAATCCTACCTTTTTCCATTTAATACACACACACACACATACACACACACACATATATATATATTTATAAATCATAACATTACATGAGTGGGTTGGAGGGAGTTAATTATCCTTAATAACTGGTATCAGAGCCG